AGTTTCAGTTCAATTTGAATAATGTTACTTTTGTAAACTTTTGAACGTTTGACTAAAAATGTTATTTCTAATTACATTACACACCTGGCATATGAGAACATACAGTCCCCAGGGAAGCGATAAAGGTCCGCCGAGCTTAAAAGAGCAGCAGGTGAAGAGAGAGTTAAATAAAATCCAAAGAATTTAAATGAAAAATCAGTGCTTTTGGTAATTGTCATAGTGAACTGAGCAAAGTTCGTAGTTTGAATTTCGTGAAGAGAAAATGAGTGACACATACCAGTCCTAGCCCRAGCAGTGTGTAAGTCGTCAAACCGAACCCRACTAAGGCACCTTTTCCAAAAGCACCCTGCAAAATCGATGATAATGAGCTTGCATAACATCTTCACTAGAATAATATTAATCCATAATACTCTCTATATATCTATATCTTGAGCCCTATAGGGATACATGGAGAAAAATCTCGAGTATGTTTGCCATTTAGGCGGGAGTCTTGGAGCTATGAGTCGACAAGAAGAAATCATTCCCTCCGTATCCCAATACCTTATTCCCTCTAAAAGAAAATGATAATGTAAACTATACTTTTTAGCACTAATGTGGCTAAATGAGAAAGTCTCTCTTAGGGCTCGCCTGGGATCTAAGTGAATTGAAGTTAAGAATCTTTTCCGACTTAAAGCTAAAGAAAGTATGTGCACCTGAATCGCTCTTCCACCATCAAGACAGCCAACTGGAAGCATGTTAAAGGCTGTTGTAGTCAGACCACACCTGATAAATAAAGAGGATTAGGACAATAATATATCTGTGATGATGTTATATCTGTGATGATGTTGAAAACAAGATATCCCTGAAATAAGAATTACCAGCCGGCTATAACAAGAGGATGAATTGCAACGGTCGCAGCGTGCATTGCTCTGGATGTTCAAAAGGTAAATAAATATATAGCTTATATCAGTAATGTACATTCAAAGCTACACATGATATCTCTGTGATTATCAATTAAAGAAAAATTTTCTGAGCATTGTGAATATTAGCAAACATTATTAAGTTATAAATTTAGTCCCTAAAGTTTGAGTGTGGTATTTATTTAGTCTCTCAAATTGAAAAGTTTAACTATGTCTCTAAACTTCTGATCATGCTTCCATTTAGCATCTACCATTAACACCATGAACCGATGCTAACATAGCCCGCCAATTAAATCCTAAGTTGGGGTCGTATGACAAATAATTAGATAGATTAATGAACATATCAATGTTCCAAATAGAAGCATAAGGGACATAATTGAATGTTTTAGGGTTTAAGACTAAGTAGACACAATGGAAACGTTTAATTTAACCGTCTAGTTTCACATAACACCAGAGGCAAATTTATTCTTTTATCTGGTATAAGAAACTAATCTTTTATGAGGAACAAGTTAATAGAGGCAAATAAGTAACATACGCATAACCAAGAGTGGCTCTACTGATGAGTCCAAGGAGCAAAGAACCTTGAAACAGCATGCTAGGGACTTGCACCAAGTCTCCAGCAGCATCTGGATTTGASGAGAGCAGGAGACCGACAGCAAACATGGAAAACGACAATGCTGCACCAGCAAAAGGACCTGCAAGTGATACGTCAACTTGGGTACTCCGATCAGGAAGAATTGACTTGAACTGTCAAACCCAAAAAAAAAACAAACAAACAAAATAATAAGAATCAGTACTGCAGGGTATAGAGCATCGTTGAAATCTTAAAACTGTATTAACTGCTGGTAAAAAAGGAGGGATGTTCTCCTTGAAATGAAACTGTGACCTTTGAATTGAAGAGAAAATATCTAGATGACAAGTTAGTAAATCTTACATTGCTAACCACAAATACAAAGGAAACACTCTAASAAGTATTAAGTTTTAAACTAATATCCATGTGTGGCTGATTTTAAGCGCAAGGATAGCAAATATGTTTACCTGAGTGATTGCACCAAAGCTTCCAAGAGTTATATTAGGAATGAAGTAAGGGATACTAAGTTTCACTTTCTTTGGAAAAGCAGCTAGAAAGTGCCCAACTTCCTGCAAATAAATGACTTCATTAGACATAAAATTACATGTATCAGATTAGTGATTGTGAAAAATATGGATACCATCTGTAAGTATCTGGTAACATTAATTTAAAAATTAAAAAATTTTAAAAAGAACTATGGGATCTAACTTGGGCCCCTCACCAGCCAAATCCCACAGTAGATGCTGTACCAAAGGCGTTTTAGTTCTATAGAAATTATTCTCAACCAAATTGTCCCCTCCTATGGGGCCAATTTGAAACCATACTTCAAAAGCAAGGTTATGCAAGAGAAAAATAAAATACAATTTAGCAAGCAACAACGACAATCTAATGGCATCTGAAATAATTCCTAGTCAAAAAATATGTAGGTTATCTCATCTTTTATTTGCCCAAATTTTATAGCATTCTCGGWAGGTTTTTAACTGTGATTGTTAGTACCCTGTCCACAGACCCAGTTTGTCCAAAGTATATTTTTTCATCCACTGTCTGCAGTTTCTCTCTTTCTCCAATAGAATGATATCATCAATGTCATTAGTTACAATGGGCTATTCAATTTTGTTTCATATCCAAGAGTAAATCCATGCACAAATTACATTCTCAGACCTCATGTTTAGAGTAAAACTTGAAGATTGATAGTTTTCACACCTTTGATAGGTTAAGACTTAAGGAGTTACAAGAGCTCTCTCCAGTTATCTATAATTCAAAAGGGAGTAGAGAACAAAAATTATTGTTGTAAATAACACACATAGAAGCATCGGGTGCAGCCCTCTCCCTCATATCCTCATCAATTTCCCCCTCCTCAAAAACAATTCACTTCTAGCCTTTCATATTCTCCTAGAAAACTGTACTGATGACATACAACCATAGAGTAAATGGCTTTGTCTGTAAGGATACTTTGAGAAAGTCATCGAACAGAGGCAATTTAAAGAAGTACATGAAAATGTAAGTAGTAAAAAAGAACATTCAATATACAGACTCTTAATTCACAAAGCGTAAAGAGAAGGTTGTTGTGATCCTCATGTTGTGAACTAAAAATGTCATGTCAAAGAAAAAAAATACATTTTTGTGAATCTTCCCACTAAAGAACAAAGAAAATTAACAAGTAAATTATTTCACTCACATGAAATAACAAAACCCCCAGCACACCATATGCTAAAGGCAGAGCAGAATCTACAAATGGAAGTAGCAGCTCCATATCTGGCGGTTCAACAGCATTTGGATCTGTAAAGTATTTCACTACCTCTGGAGGAAGACGATTGATCTGTCCAAGTCAATGAGAAACAGTAAACTATTTACTTCAAAAGTGGCACGCAAGCAATGTATAAACCATTTAAGGAAATACATGCACACGATGAAGCAACGAAATGCATGTAGAGAAGTTACATGCACACTCGAATGCCATAAAAACACATGTTCAATGCAGCTTTAGATATCACGTTGCCAATTCATCAAATTAAGTTTATTCTTCACTCTATCTGATCTTTGAAAGTCCTATAAGTAGCTACCTGAGACGCAATTCCTAACTCCACAGAGGAGCCAATTGTTAAAAGGAACAACAACAGAGCAATAACATATTGCCAAAGTGTTGTTGGACCAGGTTCTGAGACCTCTTTTCGCAACAGACCAAAACTGATACGTGGGCCACCGCGTGGATCTGGACCTTCTGAATTTGGTTCCTCCACCATAAAAAGGTTGTATTTATCACCTGTGGCTTCAACCAACTGGCCTTGGAGTTTGGAGAATACCTCTTCTCTGTTTCCTCTTAAATTCCCGAGGAAGAGAATGCCCTCCCCAAGATCTCCAAATGGTTCTTCTTTGGTTACCCAGAAGGTAGAATAGCCAAAAAGCTTGTCCTTTATAAGTTTGACGTCAGAAGGATCAACCTTCTCGGGCCCAAGAAGTTCCATCAGTTTGAAAGAATCGACTTGGAAGTTATTGTAAGCTGGTCCAATTGGAGACAAATTCGGCGACTGAAACATGAAAGAAATTATAAATTAACAGCTCATACTTTCTTCTAAGTTCTAACATTAAACAATTTTAGATAAAGACGGCTGGTTGCCATTAGAAATGCATTAAAAGTTCAAGGCACCTTTGAGCTCGATCATAGATTCATAGGCGGCATTCCAAATTGAGAACATTGTATAGAATTTATTATGATGGTACAGTGAGATTCGGCTATAACAATTGAATAAAGTTGTGGCTTGAACTAGAGATATCACTTTCACATAACTAATAGAAATACCTATTATAACATCATATTTAGGAGAGAGCCAAAAATTTCCATACAGGGGCAAAATCTCACATTCTAACTTTACATATAAATAATCTCTCCATTCTGAAAATGTAAGGGGACAAATTAGGAGCATAATTTGCAGCATTCCAAATCTAAAACATCGTATAATAGTAATTATGATGCTATGGTGAGATTCAACTATAACAATTGAATAAAGTTGTGGCGTGAACTAGAGAGGTAACTCTTCACAAAATTGATAGGCATGCCGATTTCGACATCAAAATCAAAAGAAAACGGTGAACGATTGTACCCTGGAAGAAACCGATGGCGGTGTCGTCTTCTCGGAATCAAGCTCGCTGCTACGCCGTTCCTCAACCTCTTCAGCCGACACCGTCGCTGTCGTCGTGGTGGCACTCGACTCTTTGTGCAAGTCATCCTCTCTTTCCCCCTCGCTACGACCTTCATTATCTGAACTAAAACACAAAAACCTAGCAAAATCTCCATACGAGACCAAAAGCCTCTCCCTCTTCGACCTTTTCCCGCACAAGAAACACGAATTCCTCAACCTCCTGAACCCGAGGAATCCGATTCCCTCCCTCGCCGCACAACTCCCGAAACTCGACCGGAATTTGAAATTCGCGGCACTGAAACTAAAACTACAGCTCGTAAGAGTTCCCATTCGAACAAACCTCCCAAACACAGAAGCGGTATTCTCCGAATATGCGTCCACTCCTTAAAGGTGTTTGGCTCACGCTCAATGCAGCATTTGGAGAAATAAGTCGAAAATTTGATAAATGAAAATTAGTAGATAACGCAAGGTTATCATCTGTGTACGGACATAGAAGGTTGGAGCTCGAATGATGCTTCAATGGCGGACGGAGAAATGGGAGAAGATGAAGGGCGAGAGAGAAGTGGGAAATGGAAGATATGGCTCCGTCTGATGCGAGTGATTATCAGAATATCCGTCTGGGAAAATTCCATAATAAGAAATATCTTTTCTTTGCGGCAAAGATAGAACAAATTACAGGTAAAATATCTTTTTGTTTTGTTAGCATGATACGTAGGATGAGATTCGAACTCGTCCTCTTTTAGACGGACATAAGTGTCTCAATTTGTTGAGTTTTTTCTKTAGTACAATATGTCGAGYTGAGAAATCGAACTCACGACTTTTTTGTTGGAAATTATACCGTTAAGTTATATTTAAACTAATCGATAAGATACCTTTTCTTATTTTCTATTATTTCAAAAGTTTGATAACCACCTATTCAATTACAGTTGGTTGAAAATACRAACTCAATATTAAATTTGGCTCTTATTCACTACTAAAGTAACACGTGATAGTTAAAATGGGATAGTTAAAATGGGATAAAATAGAGAAGAAACTTAATTGGTACTCCATAAATAAATTTATTGGGCAAAATTAGAACATATATACCAAATATTAATAAAGTTTTGTTCAAATTGAGTGCAACAAATATGAGGACAAGGAATTGAAACTTCTACGTCTAAGGAATAAGTAAGGTGCTTTAGTCGTCGTCTATGAAATGTCAATACAGTATTAAAACTTTTGAAGCAATAAGTGCATTTTTTAAATAAAATAAAAAGTTCATAAGTTTTTTTTAAAGATCCACGTGTCTTTCATAATGGATTGTCATCAAGCAAATGAGCCTACAACAACAATCCTCGACACTGATGTAGTTCCCTCCTTAATAGACTCCGAAGCTCAAGTTAGTAATCAGAGTAAATTAACGGTAGCAAAGAGCACATTGGAAAAGTAGTGAAATATTTTTCACTTACTCGGTGATGGTGGTGGTTATTGATTTTTATAGGTTTTCATAGGCGATCATAGAGCATGTTCCATACGTGGTGCAGCRAGACTCGTCGTTGTATGAGATTCTGACTAACGAACAAGGGCATTCTTCGGGCGCAGTAGTCGCACTGCCACCTGTCAGTCAGTCAGTCATTCCTGCAGATAGTTTGCATGTCGTAGCATGTCTCCCGTATTACGTAGCAAGCGTGCATCCCTTGTCCTCTCGTAATCGTATGTTTCATGCAGTTCGCAGTCCTCCGCCTCTAGCTATCATCCCTCAAACCTGACATGTTTAAAATATTTATTTTGGTAAATTTTCTTTTAATATTTGTCTAATTTGATTTTTGCAGGTGCATTTTGTTTATTTCTTTTTATTCTAATTTATATTTTTATATTATAATCTAACTACCACCTAGTCTTCGCTATATTCGATAAACCTTTTAGCATATGTAGGTCTGGTTGAAATTATGATTGAAATATATAAAATTAAAAAAAAGACAAAATAACCAAAATAATAATTTTCTACCCGTAATATTATTATTTTTTGTCATGTTTTAGTATATAAATTCTAACATTTATTTTACTTTTAAGATYAACAATTAACATACGTATTTAACATATCTTAATCTACTAAATAAYTGATAACAAAATGACAATAAAGATAAGAAAAACATTTTTTAAACTTCGAGAAGTAAGAYAAATATTTTAAAAGTTCTAAAATAAAATTGAAAATTCAACCTCTAGTTAAGACATCTATTTCCGATCAAAAGGTGGTGAGTTCGAATCCCACGCCCACTCTCGTATGTATAAAAAAAAAACCAATAATATATTTAGCTTAAAAATACAAACGTAAACGGGCTTTGGGCCTGAATTCGAACGCGTCCAGGCCCAGGCCCAAACCCAAACCCAGAGAAACTCGCTACTCCCTCCGCGTAAGCGAACGCGACTGCTTGGCGCGGACGCAATTGGAGCTCACGAACACGCTCTCATATCAAAAAAATCAATGGAAGAAATCTCAGAATTCGAATCCACAGAGCACGAGAGTCTCCTGCTCTTGCTCTTGCGCTTGCGCTTCCGCACAGCCCACTTCGCATAGCGATCATGGCCGCCGCCTCATTTACCCTTCTCCTCCTCCTCATCCTCTCATCGCCTCTTCTTCTCTGCCATTCCACTCACAACACCGACCTCAAGGGTATATCTCTAACTTTTCCTAGCTTCGATGTTCGTTTAATTTTTCAAAGSTTCTTTACGAGCTTTTGATGTTTGTGGCTGGTTTTGGAGTCTGTGAGGGAGGGTATTTCGTTGTGTTGGTGGGGGGAACTTGTTTTTTTTTTGAATCGGCGCGTTTTTGTGATCTTCTGGGTGGCTGTCTTTTCGTCTCCCTGAGTTGGGATTTCGAATTGGTGCCACATTCATGCATGCAGCGGATTAGGGTTTGTATTTGCAGTTCGTTTTTTTTTGGTCGGAATTAAAATAAAAAAGAAACGAAGAAATAGTTTTTAGGGTGCCGATTGTGAGCTTTTTTAAACAATGTATTTTGGTTTAATCATCAGGTCCATCCCTTCATATAGCCATCTTTCTAAGTTGAGTGAGTTTTTTTGTTTTCCTCCCACTTTAGTTTCATATTTGATCATCTCTGAAAATTCATCGTGTAGGAACTAGAAGTGGAATTTCTCGACTTTATTACAAGAATTCCTTTAATTGTTATTTCCTGCATGTCGAATCTATTGTTTGTTTGACGATATAACGTGCTAACTGAGCATTAAATGATTTTCTTTTTTAAATACAGTTTGATCAATAAGAATCTTGTGCCTTAATTGTTTGTTATATTAATGTCCTTATCTGTTTCACTTCTTTTTGTTAACGTCATTAGATATAATCTCTACATCTCAAATGATAGGTATTGACATCGGGCACCCAGCTGAAGATGTTTTTCCATCTCCACTTTCTGGAGCCAGTGATATAAAATGTGATCGTGTTCGAATTTCTGGTCTTTCGAGATTAAAACTTGGAAGTTTTGCCAGTTCTTTTCGAGTAACTGGAGTTCCATCAGTTGCTATTCCCGAAAGACTGCATACAAAAATTCAGGTTTGTTTTCACTGGTAAGTGGAGTTCCCTAGTCTGATATTCAGTGCATCCTTCCCTCTCCCACCTCCCCACTACATCTGCAATAAGAGAGATACTTGCATTGTTTGAAAAAGTCAAAGGCTAGGCAGCATCAATGTGTTCTCCATCGGAAATGCAAAGCTTAAACCTCAGTATAAGTATAAAATATATAACCATGCATCATTTAAACAAAGGATTATATGAAAGTTCAAAAGAGTCTCATGTCCATCAATTGTAAATGTCTTAAATCGTTCTTGATAGAATCTACTTCTTTAATTTTTGTTCCTTGTTTTTCTTATATTTATTATTTAGTGGCAAAAAAACCGGCAAGTTACTGCAAGCTATGTTGTATTAATATACATGCTTAAGTGGACATTTATAATTCAAAAGTAGACATCCAGTTCTTATTCTTCTTGCTATCACATGAGGCATAAAGCCTCTACGTCTGAGTGCATTCTGATGGAGGTGGTGCCTCTGGTTCTTATAAACTTGTATACGAGGACGAGGCACTACATAYTAGCCTCTTCTGAAGCAAGGAAAGACATAAGTTTTGGTGCTTAGAATTTGTGATGTTCTTGGGGAGTCACAAGGGATAAGATTCAAAGTCTTTCTGAAAAATGAATACTAGTGCGACTACAAGTGAAATAATTGGAATCCTTTTATCTTATGCAAAASCTACTTCAAGACAAAATTTCTAATACTTGTCACTGTAAACTCTGCAGGAACAATTCACTTGGATTGTGCCAGTGTGAAGATGATGAGTGGAAAACTTTTCAAAAGGGATTATGGAGCTCCTCCATGTCTCCTTATGAAGTCAGATATATTGATGTTAAAGTTATTAATGGCACGCCTCTGAGTGGTCCAGTCACAATTGCTATTGAAGAAGGTATATATCTCATGGGCTGTTGAGCTTCCTCAGTCTTAACTCTCAAGTGATTCTACTTGTATGTTAATTTGTTTTTCAATTTCGTGCAGATTTTCAACAGTGGCGYCTATTGTGTCTAGTATTGGGGTTTATGTTGCTTCTGCTAGCTCCTGTTGTCAGCAGCTGGGTTCCTTTCTATTACAGCAGTTCGATGTTTATTGGAATTTTTCTCGTCATCTTAATTATTCTTTTTCAGGTACAAGAATAACTGTCATTTTTCAAATATGTAGTATATGCACAGATAGTTTGTTTTGAGTGTTTGGTTGTATACSTAAATCTTTCAATGGGAATTTGACGGTGGGGTTGATGCTAAAAGTTAACATGCGGCTTGAGTTTTTTATTTTCTTGTAGTTAGTGGGATAGATCGTAATAATGACATTTGTGAAGCTTGATGGAAATTACTGGGTTATTTATTAATTCTGGAAAAAAATTACTGGGTTAGTTTGTTTTTATTTTCTTACAATATTTTCTCCCCCCTACTGGTTTGTTAATTATGCAGGGAATGAAGTTGTTGCCAACTGGAAGGAAGAATGTCTTTTATCTCACTGTATATGGATCGGTGGTGAGTATATCATTATAATTTGTGCCSTTCTTTCAATGAAGCATTCCTTGTAACTTACCTCCATCGGTTTTTCCAGCTTGGAGCGGGATCCTATCTTGTTCACTATTTTGCTATGATAGTAAATTCGATTCTTCTCAGTTTTGGACTGAGAGAGGAGATGCACAATCCTGTAAGTCCCATCTCCCCTTGTTTTACCTTTTACTGCATTTCAAATGAAATTCTTTAATTTATCTCTAGAGTGCATGCTTACAATGTATTGGAGTTTATTACCTCACATGTTGGATAAGCTTATATTTTTCCTTTCTTTTATACTGCCACACACACCTTTTATTATGTTTTCCTTRCAATCTTTTGGTGTTTGGAACCTATAGTATTATAAAGAAAATAAGRTATGTGACGCTTGTGTCAGTGCTTATTTTTGTTTAGAGGGTCATCTACTCATTTCTATAGAGGAAAAAGAATGGAAGAGCCATATTCTTATCCAACCACATGCATGAGATAGTAAAATGGAACTATGGTTAAGATGAATGAGATATGTGGTACACAGAAAAGAATGTGAACCTTTCATTTAATCTAAGATTATTGACATATTATTCTAATCTTATTTTTCTTTCTTTATATTGATGTATGCGCTAATCTTTACCCTTCTTTCTCATATGTTTACACTTTACAGGTTGCCATCTTTTTATTTCTGGGAATCGTCCTTTCTGGAGCTGCTTTAGGATACTGGATTGTCAGGAAGTTTGTTATCAAGGATGGAAATGTTGATGATGGCGTGGCCCAGTTTGTAAAATGGGCAATGCGTATTATTGGAGCCATATCTATCTTTCAGGTATGTCAATCCTTCTGTGTCTTGGATGCATGCTATTTTTAAACTTTGAATTAAGAATTTCATTAACCCAAAAAAATTATGGAAGGAAAAGAGGGGGAATCGTTATGAAGCTGAGTTATTGGTGYACCATTTGCAAATAATTTTATGATTGTATACCTTTTTATGAGTTCCAGCTGGAGTAATTTTTTTCCAAGTTCCTTTGAAGATTTTTTAATCTCAAGTATTTAACTGTTATGTTTCTTAAATCTTAAACATWAAATGGTCAAGTGCTTAACTGTTCTGTGGTTCATTTATCTCAGAGTACCCCTGATGCTCCTTTAGCACTTGTGGCCTTTGCTTGTTGTTGGGCCATCTGCTATCTTATCTCTTCTCTGATGCGGTGTGTTACAATGTAAGTTATTTCCTATTCTATCTATTTTAAGTGGTGCGCTTCGATTTAAGTTTAATATTTGCTTGCCTTTCTACTTCCTTAACATGTTGAAAGCAGATAATTTCTTGTTAAAGATATTTTTTTTTTGCAGCAATATTGGTCATTTTACATCTAGGACAATTAAAAGTTTTAACTTGTCCCATTTTTCATCCTAAATGTTATAAGAAATAAGTATGTTTAATGAATCTCCGGAAACATCTCCCTTCTATAACTTTTATCTTTAGCAATAACAGTGGCTTCTTATTACTTCCTTGAAAAACAGGTCAAGTAAGTGAATCCTGCTTTAGTCTTKTATCTATTGGCGAAGGCCTAGGCCTGATTAAGTCGTCTATTGTACCAATGGTACTGTTTAACTTCTATTTATTCCCTTGTACTAGTTGCCCTTGGCCGGGTTCCTGCTGCCCGGCCCTAGGTTAACTTATTCTCTCTTATGTTGTGTGTGTTCTGAATGTGATTTCTTAAATATTTATAAGAAAATACCCATCGGATCATCATCACCTAAAATTCTTTTATTCTTGTTAGGGATCAATCATATTCTGGATCTGGTAGCCCTTGGCAACCGCAGAATAAGCAGATGGTTGGGAAGCAGATTCGTACCGAATTCCTTAGCCGATCAAGCCCTCAAGACAGGAGATGGAGAACTTCCRATAGCCACAGCCCGGCTTGGTCTAATTCGCCGGTTAAAGGTGCTGTTTTCTGTTAGCTGTTTGATTTATTGCTTAATTCACCTGAGCTATTTTTTGCACATGTTGACTGTCTTCCGTAGCAAACAAATTGAGGGTTCTGCCTCTTACCATTTCCATTATCTGGTGTTTTACTTGCAGGCGTGATTTTGCCATCCTCCGGGATGCAAAATCAGGACTACTACTCAACCTTCCACAAGACCCGCAACCGAAAGAAGTTCACAAAGAAAGCCTGGGATGATTTCACTAGAGATTCGACMCGACAAGCATTGGCAGAGTGGGCATCGTCCCCCGAATTCACAGATTGGATCATGGAGCATGCTGACAGGATTCAACTGCTCCCAAGTGATACTTCAGATGAAACTGTTGGAAGCGAATCTGATTCAACCAATGAGAATGTTGTTGGTAGTGGCAGTAGGTTCAGCTTTTTAAACTGGTAGAGGCTAGGTTTCTGTATCTGCTAACATGGAGAAGGATAGGGTAAGATCATCAGGTTCTTAGTTAGGAAATTTGATTCTGTTGGTTGAGATGAAGCAAGTTTTGCGAATTATCCCGAACCACACGTCTAACAGCTAGAGTTGTCTCATAGATTAGGTCGACTTGCGAAACTGCTATCGTGGCATGTGAATATGTCGACTTGGCTCGACACAACACAACACAACACGAGCATATCACTCATTGTGTTTCATGTTGTTGCCACCTACAACTGCAACCCAACATGTTTATATAATGTGGGATAAGCCATGGTGCAACACAGTTTACGACTCCTACGAGACAGGGGACGAGGCAGGATGTGTCCGACACCTCTACAAACAGCTGATGTTACATTTGTTTTAGGCACAGCAGAAGTTATATAGCTTCCAAGTTGAGTTTTGCTGTACTGTCTGAATATATATGGGAATAGATGGTGCTCCTTCTGTTTGCTCTCTTTATTTCTTTTTAGGATAGTAATCACTTTTTCAGCAATAATCTTAATTGTAAGATTGTTCTTTTGTAATATCAATCATTTAAATATCGAAAATGTTTAGTATATCTCATTATTGTTGTTTTTATTTTTTCTTGAGGGATTAGAATTCTTTATGGGATTTGACAGGAAATGTATGTAAATTTAAGGAACTTGAATTTTATCAAAAGAAAAAAATGTTACACAAATGAGAACTAGGAATTAGAATTAAAATTAATTGGAAGGGRACATTTTTTCCTCGATGACAACTAGAAAACTTTTTAAATTGGAAAATTTTTACTGGAATAAAAAATTTATTGATGTTTATAAAAGATGTCTGAATTGGAATAGGAATGAGGAAAAAAAAAAATCAATTTTAGACACTTTTTGAATAAATAAAATGTTAAAAAACACTTTTCATCGTGTAATAATGATTTACTTCTTGAGCTTTGTAGAATCACTAACAAATTAATATACTAAATTGTTATACCATAAGAATAACGAATTAATATACTAAATTGTTATACAATAAGAATAATTATGTTGGGATTTTTTGCGGTAGAAATTAAAATTTCTTAGCTAAATCGTTATTTCAATAGGAATAAAAAACCAAAAATATTTTTTAACCAATAAAATGTGAGTACATGGATAAAAAAAAATAGACTTTTTAGAAACTATATAAACTAAAATAGGATTTAATATATTTCTATGTAAAATTTATATTCATAACTACMATTCATATAATTTTGTAATTTTAAATTAAGAGATCAAAATAAATTTTTGTGAGCTAAGCGATTTATTGATATTTTATAAAGCAAGACGGACTCTTCTTTTTCGTTTTCCACAAACTCCCATTGCCAGAAAAAAAGAGAGAAGAGAGAGAGAGAGAGAGAGAGAGAGAGAGAGAGAAGAGACTGAAGATTGAAAAAGAGAGGCGATTAGTCATTTTCCATTCCACAGAATCAATCCTTCTCTCCCAAATTCTTCAATTTCATCTTCTTCTGCAAAATCTTCGGCAGAATCTTCAGACTCCATCTCGTCGCAGCCTTTCAGGTTTTCTCTGTTTCGTTCAGGTTCGTTGTCCCGACCTAGGGTTTTGATTCTACGTCAAATCCCATGAGCATCTCATTTCCGCTGCCATAGCACGATGTACTCCCCGAACAAGAGCCCGTTAGCTTCTCCGACGAGCTCCCGGTCTGTTACTGAGACTATTAATGGCTCCCATAACTTTGTGATCAAGGGTTATTCTCTGGCCAAGGGGATCGGGGTGGGAAAGCATATTGCGAGCGAGAATTTTACCGTGGGAGGTTACCAGTGGGCCATTTACTTCTATCCTGACGGGAAAAATCCTGAGGATAATTCGGCTTATGTGTCAGTGTTCATTGCCCTGGCGAGCGAGGGCACTGATGTGCGTGCGTTGTTTGAGCTGACTCTGGTGGACCAGAGTGGTGATGGGAAGCACAAGGTGCATAGTCATTTTGATCGCTCGCTCGAGAGTGGGCCTTACACGCTCAAGTACAGAGGTAGCATGTGGTAAGAAATCTCTCTGACAAAATTTCTCCTTTTTTGTTGGCTTTGGATGATATGAAACCATGGGTAACGGTTAGTTTCATGATGTTTGGTCAATTATTATTCGTTTTGTTGTCTTGAGGTCAAATGTCCAATGGATGTTTTGGAATTTTAGATTTGCAATACATGGATAAGGATTTCTTCCTTTTATCTCAATATTGATAGTTAAAAGAGGCAAGGATGCTCTTGCAACGATTTTTTCTATTTGACGCATAGTGAAATTTTCAAATCACAATGATGAACTCAAGATCCTTTGTAATGTACATTTGGGATAGACGATAATAATACATGGGATTTGGTTTATTGTATACTCTGCGGTCTGTGTGCTAACTGCTAAATACCTATCAGATTAGAGAACTATGTGTATTATTTATCATCTTTGTTTCCCAAGAAAATTACCAGATTTTGAACATAAAAGACATGAGGATCAAGTGTTGAAGAACACGTGATTAAATAACTGAAATGGTCCTTCTGCTCTGTGACTTGTTTTTGCGTTTTTGGTTTTGGTTTTGGTTTGCACCCCTATTTGTTGACCTATTTTTGGAGTCTTTTCCTACCAAAAGAATGAAAAACTTTTGAAGTGTGCAATGCAAGATCTTCCTTGGGTCGTGGTTTGAGAGGAATAAGTATCTTGAAGGTGCAAATGTAAGAATTGAGAAGTAGTTTGCGTAGGAGTGGTATTTTTTGAAGGTAAAGAAATGTCTGGTTAAGGTCTTGTGCTTCTCTTGTTCTTGGTGAGCTTGTGGGGGAAGATTATATCATAGCAGTGACTTTGAGAGCTTGAGTCGATTGATTTATTTATTATTTATTGGCTAGAAAGGTCTCCAGTCTTGAACTCAATAAGCGGAAACTACGTTGGTTGCCCTTAATATTGACAAAATAATGGCGGAGAATAAGTCAGTCTTTAGGAAGAAATCCCTTG